ATTGAATAGTTTTCATTTGATACTATTTCTATCATGTGATTCTTGACCTGCCATTATGTATCTGTTCCTCCTTCTTGTTCCTACCAAACCCAGCTGGTTAAAGCAGATGCTGCATGTCCCGAGTCTGGTTCTACTAAAGGTTTCTTCCTCATGAGGGAGTTTTACCTTACCACTGTCACCTTTGTGCTTGCTCAAGATGAGAGTTCTGCAATGGAGTTAAACTTAAACGGTCTGCTCCTCAGATAAATAGTGTTGAATTATTATTTTTATATATGAATGTTTCTGTTCAGTGCCCTGACATGACTTCTGTTGTGACTTGGTGCTATATAAACTGAATTGAATTGAAAAAAAAAAACAGGATAATTGAAAAACAAATATTATAAATATGCAGACGTATTACATTTTGCAAGCATGCTGTCACCTCTCTGCCTCATGTGAGCTGCAATTGAATTCTTAGAGAAAAATTACAATAAACTGATACCAGACAGAAGCATCAATGATGATGATCATCTTCATCAACAATTTCTTTCTACCTATTGACTACAGTTCTAGTAATTTAGTAAAAATATTTGAATATTCAACTGTGAATCCATTTTGTCCAAACCCATTCTAAATCTAATGTAGGGTGGGGGTTTTCTTAACATGAATACAATATTTTTATACACAGCTTTTGCAGTGTTCTGAAGTAATGTATGCCATCTATGTTTTAGATAAACACTGATTTTTTAAAATAGTATGGTCTTTACATTTGTTCTTCACAGGCAACCGGGGGAATGCTAAACATAAGTGGGAAGACACAGAGGTTCGTGCGGTTGAAAAACACATGATGAATTTCGTCCACACATGCAAGGTACCTCAGAAAATACACTTCCTTCAGTGCATCAAGCAGAGCCAAATGTACTTGAGGACAGAAACTGGACTGGGTAAAAAATTGTCAGAAACCGGATCACTGCCTTGAAGAGACTGGCTTGTGCCAAAGAATTATTATAGTTGTTTGTGATTTTCAGCCTAGTTTAGACATTTTGACATGTTGTATTAAATTTAATCAAGTATGTAGATTTTTTTAATGATAGCACTTTTTCCTCCTCTTTCTTCTCTGCTGCTTTTCTTGATGTAATATTTGAGGTTTGAGCAGAAAAGGGACCATCTGAACATTTTTTGAAGTGATAATGTGTCAAAATAGTTTTCAATAGTTGGTATCTTATTTGCTGAAACATCAGTCATGGATCACAGAGTATGGAGAAAGACTTATGTCTTCATCTGGATTAGGCTACTGGGTAGCCAAATGAGTACCAGTTTTTCTTTTTTCTTTTTCAGACTTGCAAAACTACTTCCTCAAAAATAACACACAGATGTGAAAGAATTTGCATTAGTTAATTAAATTCAATGCACTTTTGCATGACAGTTTGTTTTCAGTTTATATGCTGAGCATAAACTTTTATTTGCCTGTAATGATGAAGTGGCAAATGTATCAATCTGACTGATAAGTACGTTTAGTCAGTCCAAAAGTTTGCTCATCTTCTGGTAGAATAATACATTCAGCAGCCTTCGCATCAGTAGTATATGCATGGTCTATCTATGCTCTGCACACAAACATATGCATAGTAATATGGACATCGACTGAGAATAAAGTGACAAACTTTATTAGCAAAATGGTGCCATCCAAAAGTTTAAGGGTTTAATATTAGGTAATGTAGCATTCTTTGACACAAGTGTGTTGTTTTTGAGAAAGTTGTTTTATAGAATAAAAAAACCACCTTGTTTGTTAACCATTTGCCTAGCCTTGACAAAGACGTCTATTTTCTACATACTTTGTGCTCTATGATGGATGTCACAGCTGACAAGGTACTAACTATTCATAACAATTTCACTGAAAATTACCTCAAAAGTTATTAGACTATCTTTTTATTTGTTGGTAAAGACACTTGCATCAATGCAGAACCCTATGCACTTAAGGACTGAAACTAGACTGGTGTTAAAAAAAATGTATCAAAAATTGAATGTGTGAATTGAATTGTGTGCCAAATAATGATTGTAGTTTTTGTTTTGATGTAATACTTGAAATGAATATGTTGAATACAAAACACTTTTTAGCCAGTGAAAGTGTATTTTTGTTGCCCAAAGCCTGTCCTGATGATTCATGCTCTTTTCCAATGTTTATTTGAACTGCAGAGCATTTCAACAGTGTTCTGAAATTTAGTAAAAAAGTTACTAAGCATTTTATTGTTGGAATTATTTTTCTTTTGCTTGTATTTCTTGGGCTGACATTAAGTCTCAAATTTCACATGATTTAATACTAAACAAATCTGAAATAAGACTATAAATTTGTTAAACATTTTGAAAAAATATTTTGATATATAAAACATAGTGATTTAACCAATCATCTGTAGCCTGAAGCAGGTCCATAAAATCCAATAGGCTGGTAACTAGTTAAAAAAATTAAACTACAAAAAATTAGGAAGAATTTATATATATAAAAATTGAAAATACATTTATTTATGATTTTCATTTATTGAAAAAAATTATTTCAAGAGGGTGATATAGAAGAATACTTTTTTGGGAAAACATCTTGTAAACATATTCAATAAATAAATATTCAATTAAAAAATCATATGCAAGTGCTGTGCTTGAGCAGAAGTAAAATGTAAAACATCAATGTCAGAGGCCCAACTATGTCAGTATGTTGTGTGAACTAAAACAGAGTTGATCACACATTAACAGAAGTGGCTCAGAATTGGTTCAAACAGTGGTCTTTGAGTTTGTGCAGATTATCTAACTTCAGACTGGATAACAGATCTATGAACCAAATTAAGGTAAAATAAAAACTACTTTTGGCACAAAGCTAAACAATAGAGTTCTTAAAGATAAAAGGAAATTTTAATCTTGATGATCTAGAGTACTTTCTGTATGTCTTCACATTTGCATTGCTGCTTGTACAGTATATTGTGCAACATTTCTTTTAGGGTTGTATTAAGCAAGGTTTCCCCAATTCAAAAGTCGAGAACAACTGGCCAGGTCAATATAAACTAATACAAGGTTGCATATTTGTAGTACACTGTTTTGTTCATATTACATATGTTTTGAAATAGCTGTAGATAAAACAATGACTAGTCCCCAAAGGGATTTAAGGTACCCAAAGGTGACTTTAATCAGTTTGTGTATCTGTGTAAAACTGTATAAAACTTTCTTAGATGAAGAACTTTACTAATTGGCTTTTCTATGTATGTGAATGTTCCTGTAAATCATCCTGAGACAACTTTGTTGTGATTTGGTGCTATATAAATTAACTGAATTGAACTGAATTGAATTAAAGTCCCCAAAGGGTCATAAGGTACCCAAAGGTGACTTTAACCAGTTTATGTATCTGTGTAAATCTTAAGTCCCCAAAGGGATATAAGGTACCCAAAGGTGACTTTAATCAGTTTGTGTATCTGTGTAAAACTCAAGTCCCCAAAGTGGACTTAAAAATTCCCTGGTCCCCAATGTGAAGGCAAAAAATAATTTTATCAAAAAAGGATTTAAACAAAATTTTCAGGTGACATTTGTTTTCTGTAAATTTAGAGTAAAAAAAATCACATAGCAGTTTGTCCCTAACCCATTCAGAAAGGGGTGTCCCCTAAGGTAGGTAGTTAAAATATGCGCCCCCAATTTGGACATAAGCAAACCATGGTGTGTGTGTGTGTGTGTGTGTGTGTGTGTGTGTGTGTGTGTGT